AGCGGGGCAGTCTGGATGCTCCGTGGTCGACAATGGAAGCCTTTTTCGACCGCTCCGGTAAACCTCATTCCACGAGGCATAATGGAGCAGTCGACAAAAACTTCCGCTGTCGACCGCAGAGCGTCCAGACTGCCCTGCTGTACCACCAAACAGCTGACTGGCACAGCGGGACAGCCATTTTGATGTAAATAAAGCGGTGATTATTTAAATCACCACTTCATTTTCCTATGTCTAGTAAACTCATCTACATGGCTCTGTCGACGGAGCCATGTAGTCTAGACATACCCCTAATGACATAGCAAACCAAACAAAGGGCACTTACTAAGTATTCTTATCATCATCATTTAGCATTGACATGCTGACAATTTCTTTCCCCTTTTTTTCTTCCTTTTTTCTCTTTTTCCCCACCATGTCTCCCATCTGCTCTCTGTGCTATTTATTTGAAAACTGGACCAATCCCTTAAATTCCATTCATCTGAAGAAGTAGGTTGTGCCCGTGAAAGCTCATGATAACATCTACATGTTTTGTTAGTCTCTAAGTGCTGTTAGACTATTTGTTGTTTTTTAAGTTTTTGCTGGATAACCATTTTCAGAGAATAGTTATTAATGGTTTAGTCATGCTGGAAGGGCGTAACCAGTGGGGTTCTATAGGGGTCAGTTTTGGGACCAGTTCCATTCAATATCTTCATCAACAATTTAGATAATGGCATAGCGAGTACGCTTATTAAGTTTGCAGATACCACCAAGCTGGGAGGGGTTGCAAGTGCTTAGGTGGATAGAGCCGTAATTCAAAATGATCTTGACAAAATGGTCTGAGGTAAATAGGATGAAGTTTAATAAGGACAAATGCAAAGTGCTCCATTTAAGAAGAAACAATCAGTTTCACACATACATACAGAATAGGAAGTGACTGTCAAGGAAGGAGTCCTGCAGAAAGGGATCTAGGGTCATAGTGGACCACAAGTTAACAATAAGTCAACAGTGTGATGCTGTTGCAAAAAAAGCAAACATGATTCTGGGATGCATTAACAGGAGTGTTGTGAGCAAGTCATTCTTCCGCTCTACTTTGTGCTGATTAGGCCTCAGCCAGAGTATCGTGACCAGTTCTTGACCTATCATCAGAGGTTAAAGAGAATAATTTTCCTCCCTGCTGCTTGTAACAACAGTTTAGGTACCTGAAAGGTGCTATCTTGTCCCCGCTCTGTCTTCTCCTTTTAGAAGACTAGACTTCTACACATTTGTCTGCATTGTAAGTAATGTGACACAAATGCAAACTAATTTTAAAAGAAATAAAAACCTTTTCCTAACAGTGGGACAGAGGAGTTCAGACCAGACTAAAACCTCTGAGTTGAAGGTTTGATTCTCTTAACATTTCTTTTCATTGATTCACAGCACAGTTTGTTTTAAGCATCAGAGGTGGGTGTATGTCTGGAACTCAGAGCTGGAGCTATAGAGCACGTGGGTCCTGGCTTGACAAACTCCACCCCAGAGTGGCAGAGGTCCAGCCTTCAATAAATGCTGTTTCGTTTTCACAGTTGTTGCTCTAAGCTGGTGGCTGAGGGCACAGCCCATTCAGGCAGTGCTGCCAGCTAACGAAAGTCCCAGTAAGGACAGGGGATGACAGTCATTCTGGGAACAGAAAAGGCTTAGTTTTTGCTGACACTGATGAGCGTAAAAGTTAAAGACAGAGAGTGCAGGTTACAGTCAGACAAGTGAGTACGTGCTGGGCAGGCTCCGCCTGTGAGCCTGCGTTCCCATCCCATTTCCCCTGCCACTCATGTTCCAAGCTTTCTACAGTTCTGCCAGGTCCCTAAATAGCGCTGGCCTGCAGAAGCCCTCTCCTCCAACCTCAGTAGTTCAGCTTTGCTCAATGCTGCACCTTTTGCAATGTGCTTCTGACTTGACCTGCAGTGCCCTATGCCGCTCTAGTTCTAGGCTTCCATATTGCTCATTGCCCTCCCACTCAGACCCACCTACTCCCTGACAGGCAACAAAATCACCAAAGGTTAAAAATAACCAATCTAATCTTCAGTCATTAAATCTTATCTAAAGATCTGTTCCTGCCAGTTTTGAGAGCATTTCTGAAATGATAAGCACTAATCAAACACGGAGATCTCAGCTATCTATTTTGAAAGTGCAACCCATGATATCTGATGCTCTGCAGATTCCCGTACTAGCAGCAGTTGACAAATGAGGGTGAATGCAAAGAGGTGACTTGCTTAACAATAGGGCAGAAGGGTCAAGGCTACAATGCCAGCCCCCAGCGTTCCGCAGTTTTCTCCTTGGTGGTCACACAGGATGATGGCTCTAATTGGGGAATTTCTCAGGCCCCCCACATAATTCTAGAGTCTCCTGCTTTAGCTGTTCCCTCAAAATTGCCTCCAGGGTGCTCGAGAGGTGATTACAGAGGGATAAGTCCCATGACCGACTCTTCCTAAGGGCCCCAAGGGCAGGACACAGACAATTCCAGGAACCTAGGGGCTGTAGCGCACAGTTGTAATGCCTCTAAACTGCTTTATGCACCCCAATGTATCACGGGAAAGACAGAGTAGGGAGAGATGGCTGACTACTGACACGTACCAGAGTTCACATGGGGGTGGGGAGGTTGAGCAGCTGCTCTGTCACTACCTCCTCCCACCCATTGGTTTTCTGGAACTACCCACCACTTTCTGAAAGACAAAATGTGCAGGCCCAGGGTTCTCCTCTGCCCCCAGCTGCTGCACTGCTGACCTCTGCTCACCCCAGTAAGGTCTCGCTTCTCGAACTGCCTCTCCAGAAACATGTGCTCCCCTCAGTGAGTGTGGCCCCCCAGATCCCACTCCCACACCAGGAGACCTTGGAGGAGATAAAATGCAAAGCCAATCTTACCCAAAGTGGAAATGAGGTCAAAGGCCAAGTGCTGAACTTAAACAAATAACACAAGTAGGTAGAAGCAAAATTAGAAAGGCCAAGGAATAAAACGAACTCCAACTAGCTAGAGACTAAAGGGTAACGAGAAAACATTTGGCAGATCTATGCGAAGCAAAAGAAAGAACACGGACAGGGCAAGACCATTACTCAATGAACATAACATAAGAACATGAGAGCGGCCGTACTGGGTCAGACCAAAGGTCCATCTAGCCCAGTATCCTGTCTACCGACAGTGGCCAGCGCCAGGTGCACCAGAGAGGGTGGACCGAAGACAATGATCAAGCAATTTGTCTCCTGCCATCCCTCTCCAGCCTCTGACAAACAGAGGCCAAGGACACCATTTTATCCCCTGGCTAATAGCCTGGAAGAGAGGAAAACAGTAACAGAAAATGTGGAAATGGCAGAGGTGCATAATGAATTCCTTGGTTTGGTTTTCACCCCAAAAGTTGGTGGTGGTTGGTATGGCTGTCCCTGGTGGAGGGAGAGTCTGGGGCAACCCCTCTCCCCCACTCCAGTTCCCCAGGCATGGGCCCAGGGCAATGAGGCCACGTCCCTGCCCAACCCCACCGCACTCTCCCTGCCCACTGCACCACACTTCTCCATGGCAATGAGAATTGGAGCATCCATGGGAAATAAGAACCACCCAGAAAACTACAGACCAGTCAGCTTAACTTCTGTGCCAGGAAAAATAATGCAGCAAATAATTAAGGAATCTATTTGGAAACATCTGGAAGATAAGAAAGTGATAAGTAACAATCGGCATTGGTTTGTCAGGAGCAAATCATTTCCAACCCCCCGGTAACTTTCTTTGCTAGGATAACAAGCTATGTGGATACGGGGAATCATAGAACCACAGAGCTGGAAGAGACCTCAGAAGGCATCAAGTCCAGCCCCTTGCCCTAGGCAGGACCAATCCCAACTAAATGAACCCGAGAATCATAGAACTGGAAGAGACCTCAGAAGATCATCAAGTCTAGCCCCCTGCTCTAGGCAGGACCAATTCCAACTAAATCAACCCGGCCAGGGCTTGAGACTTAAACACCTCTAGGGATGGAGACTCCACTACTTCCCTAGGTAACCCATTCCAGTGCTTCACCACCCTCCTAGTGAAATAGTTTTTCCTAATATCCAACCTGGACCTCTCCCTCCACAACTTGAGACCATTGTTCCTTGTTCTGCCATCTGTCACCACTGAGAACAGCCTTTCTCTGTCCTCTTTGCAACCTCCCTTCAGGAAGTTGAAGGCTGCTCTCAAATCCCCCCTCACTCTTTGCTTCTGCAGACTAAACAGACCCAAGTCCCTCAGCCTCTCCTCGTAGGTCATGTGCTCCAGCCCCCTAATCATTTTTGTTGCCCTCCGCTGGACCCTCTCCAATGCGTCCACATCCTTTTTGTAGTGGGGGGCCCTGAACTGGACACAATACTCCAGATGTTGCCTCACAAGAGCTGAATAAAGGGGAATAATGACATCTCTGGATCTGCTGGCAACGCTCCTCCTAATGCAACCTAATATGCCATTAGCCTTCTTGGCTACCAGGACACACTGTTGACTCATATCCAGTTTCTCATACACTGTAACCCCCAGGTCCTTTTCTGCAGAACTGCTACTTAGCTGGTTGGACCCCAGCCTGTAACAATGCTTGGGAGTCTTCCCAAGTGTAGATGTGGTATATCTAGACTTTAGTAAAGCATTTGATACAGTTTTGCATGACCTGATTAATAAACTTGGGAACTACAACCTAGATGGGGCTACTATAAGGTGGGTGCGTAACTGGCTGTATAACCATCCCCAGAGAGTAGTAATCAATGATTCACAGCCATGCTGGAAGGGCATATTTAGTAGGATCCCTTAAGGATAAGTTCTGGGTCTGGTTCTATTCAATATCTTCATCAGTGATTTTGATAATGGCATAGCGAGTACACTTATTAAGTTTGCAGATGATACCAAGCAGAGAGGGGCTGCAAGTGCTTTGGAGGATAGGGTCATAATTCAGAGTGATCTGGACAAACTGGAGAAATGGTCTGAAGTAAACAGGATGAAATTCAGCAATGACAAATGCAATGTGCTCCACCTAGGGAGGAACAATCCATTACACATACACAAAATAGGAAATGACTGCATAGGAAGAAATAATGTGGAAAGGGTTCTGGGGGTCAGAATGAACCACAAGTTCAATATGAGTCAATAACGTAACACTGTTGAAAAAAAAAAAAAAAGAACAGCATTCTGGAAACTATTAGAAGGAATGTTGTAAGTAAGACATGAGAAGTAATTCTTTTGCTCTGCTCTGCTCTGATTAGGCCTCAACTTGAGAATTCAGGAAACATGTGGACAAATTGGAGAAGGTTCAAGGGGGAGTAACAAAAATAATTAAAAGGTTTGGAATACATGACCTATGATGGAAAAACTGATAAAATTGGCTTTGTACAGTCTGGAAAAGAGAAGTCTGAGAAGGGGCATGATCACATTTTTCAAGTACATAAAAGGTTGTTACTAGGAGAAATGAGAAAAATTATTCTTCCTATCCTCTGATGATAGGACAAGAAGCAATGGGCTTAAATTCCAGCAAGGGTAGGTAAGATTAGACTTCAGGAAAAAACTTCCTAACTGTCAGGGTGGTAATTGTCAAAGGAGGTTGTGGAATCTCCATCACTGGAGACTTTTAGGAGCACATGAGATCTGTCAGGGATGGGCTAGATCAGGCTACTGTTTGCGGCCTGCGGTGCAGTTTGAGTATATGCGGGGCTCAACATGTGGCCTGCGGATGGGAGCCAAAACAAAAAAAGTACAGCTGGTCCCTGAGTCGCGAACGGTCGACTTACGACCGTTTGCAGTTACAACCAAAGCTGTCATAAATGACGGACCCCGAGTTACGAACGCGATCCGTGCTTACGAACAGCACGATCGCGTGTAACTCTATGGGGGCCGACTTACGAATGAACCGAGTTACGACCAATTGCTTGGTCCATAACCGGTTCATAAGTCGGGAAGAGGCTGCAGTCAATATAATGCTCTTCTGTTGATATGTGTTTTAGTAGTTAAATTCCTGGACTGTCATTGCTCATTACACGTGCTGGCATATGGGTGGAAATCCAGTAAATATTGCATTTTATTAATATCAGCAGAACTGACCTAAATGGGGCCTGCATGTTGTGTTGTCTGGCCTTAATCTTTGTATTTATGTCTGTCAGTGTGAAAGAAGCTATTTGCATATATTTGCATGTACATGCAACCACACTTACGTTGTGGCCCTCAGCATGTGCTGTGCGTATCCTTGTGGCCCCTGGAGCTTCCAAAGTTGAGTAGCCCTGGTCTAGATGATGCTTGGTCCTGCCATGGGGGCAGGGGACTGGATCAGATGACCTCTCGTGGTCCCTTCCAGTCCCATGATTATATGATTCTACACTTTAAATCATTAATGAAAATAGTGAATATCCTTAAGACTGATCCCTGTGGGACACCAATAGATATACCCTACTGGTTTGACAGTGAACCACTGATAACTACTTACAGCCAGTTGTATGCTCACCTTATAGTAATGTCATCTAGACCAGTGGTTTTCAGACTTTTTCATCTGCCCCCCGTCCAAATAAGAGCATCTACCATGTACCCGAATCTGACATAGGGAGAGGCAGCCCCTGCAGGCGTGTCATGTGTCTCCCCCTCCCCCCCGCCCAGTTTTCTGCCTTCCATTCAGCAACAGTTTCTAGTAGTTTTCAAAACTCTGGCGCATGCCCCCATAGAGGGTGCAGAGGAATGTTTGGCAGGGCGCAGGTCAGATCTGAGCCACAGGGCTTAAAAAGGGAGCCCCATCTCCATCCCCTGATTCACCCCAGCAGGCCCCCCAGTCTATCTGGGTTGGGGACTTAGCCAACTATTGTAGCTCAAAGGAGGGGTTCAGCTTAAAAAGCCTCCCCTTTCAGTTGCAAGTTTGGTGGTGTCCCTCCCCCCCTCCTCCCGACAGGCTGGGTGTCCCACTGAGGTGAGTTAGGGATGGAGATGGGGCTCCCTGCCTGAGCCCCACCTGGTGCTGCCACTCACTCCCCCACCAAGAATACTTCTCCGTGCTGTGCTAGGGGGACCCTCAAGTACTTCTCTGTGCTGCACTGTGGGGAGAGGCTCAGAAAACCTCTCATTCTGAGTCACCCAGCAGAAAGGAAACTCACCAATGTGCTGCAGCGTTAATCGAAAGGAGATGAAATGTTGATTAGATTGCCATGCCTTACAAAACAAAATGTGTTGGCCGCCATTACAGAATTTTCCTCCTCTGATGCAAGAAAGGGGCATGTGTTCCCCAGTTTGAACACCCCTTGCCTAGTTTGCTTATCAGTCTGCTCTGTGGGACTGTGTCACAAACCTTACCAAAAATCAAGATATATCATGTCTAGGGCTTCCTCTTCTCCCCCACTGGCCAGTAGCCCTGTCACAGAAGGAAGATAGGTTTGCTTCGGCATATTGTGTTCTTGACAAATCTATGCTGGCTATTCCTTATCACCCTGTGATGCTCCAGAGCTTACAAATTGATCGTTCCATAATTTGTTCCAATATCTTTCCAGGTAGTGAAGGTCAGCTGACTGGACTATAATTCCCCATGTCCTCTTTGTACCCCTTTTAAAAACATACCCTACGTTGCTCTGTTCCAGCCTTTTGGGAGCACACAGAGATAATTGCTAATGGTTCTGAAATTGCTTCGTCTAGTTTCTTGCATAGCCCTAGGATGGATTTCATCAGGCCCTGGTGACATGAATACATCTAATTTCTCTAAGTGCACTATAACCTGCTTTTTCCCTGTTTTGGCTTCCATTCCTTCCCCCTTGCTGTCAGAAATAATGATGTTGACTAGCTGGTCACTGTGACGGGCCGTCAACGGCTCGCACGCCGCGCGGGCCCACATGCCGGGGGA